TACATCGAAATAATTGTCAAAATACATCATCTGCCTACACAGAAAAAAAAAAAAAGAAAAATCCTCCATAGTTTTTATCGGTTATTACAGCTCGCGATGCCTCAGAGCGGACGGGTCCCTTATCATCTCGTTCATTACCGCACTGTTGCCAAAAGAAGCAAAGAAAATACCTGGGATTATGGAAATTTTCCGCAGAGGATTCGTCTCAGGTGGTCATATTAGTTTAGCCGGCGATTCTCCTAGTTGGGGTAAATTATGGCTCTCGGCAAACATTTATCCAAAAGATTACAGTTATTTTTTTCCTTGTTATTTTATATTTTTTTCTCTTGTGTGCAAAATGGGTTTCGAGCTAAATGGTTTCGCCCGTTAGATGGCTGAAATTATCTCTAATAGTATTAATCTATAAAAGGAAAGAAGATTTCATTGAAAAATCCGGCGGATGTCATATGGCCTATTAGCAGATATAGGGCAGATAAAAAATGGGAAAGATGATATTGCCTTGTTGGATCGGTGTTGATGGAAGACGCCATATTTATCTTTCACTTGCAGTTTATTTTATTTTTTGTTTGAAATTTCTTTGTATTTCTTTTGAAAAAAGGAACAGGAAAGATTATTTATTTGTTGTTTTGGAAAATTTAAAGGGAAAAAAAATAAGGATCAATCAAAAGAGAGAAAAAAAAGGTGTAAGGTTTGGAAAAAAATATCAATTTTGATTATTTACTGTTTGTATGAAAATAAGTAATTTGAAATATTTCTTTTGGTTAAAAAAATATCGGTTGGAATTACCGTTTGGATAAATAATATCGGTGTGGAAAATTCGATATTCTTGTTTGTATATGGCTTAAAAAATAATATAATTGGAAATTATTATATAAATTATAAATACATTAAAGAAATATGTCATTGCATAGAAAATAATAATCTGGATATTTAAAAATGATATGCATTTTTTTAGAAATGTTTTTAACACAGACAGTTTAATTTCTGAATTAAGTGAGTTTAGTTGAAAACCCTTCAAAAGGACTGAACTAAAAGTTACCTTGTGTTATACCAGGTCCTGAGAGTAGTCTTATTTGCATTAGAAGGAAAAGCGCAAAGTTGACCTATAGTAGTGATAGTCGTATTTTAAACAAGTTTTGTGGGTTCATGTACTGAAATTGCAAAAATGTAAGTTCTCCTACACCATGCACATTAGGAATATATTGCAATATTTAAAATAAATTCTATGTGATATGTGGTATGATCTGCCCGATATGAGCAACAATAAATCAGTAAGTAAATACTTCAATTGGATTCAAGGTATAAGACTATAACTCCAAAGTGCCTCTCCTGAGAGTATTCGAAGCCTGAGGGTCAATTGGCTAGCCTTTGGTACCACAGGTTTCAGGTTCGAATCCTGATGGTGGCATGGATGTTTGTGAGTGGTTCGGAATTCGCGTTAAACTGTAGGTCCCTATCTAATTAACCTAAAGTATGCATAAAATGACCGTGGAGCGACAAACCAAGCGAAACCAAACCTTAGAGAATTCAATCTTAATTGGAATGGAAGCAAAAGAGCAACGTTGATCCAAAGTAGTGGTACTCTTATTTTAAACAACTTTTGTGTCCTCACGAGCTTAAATTGAAGAAGTGTAAATTTTTCCTCCCCATTCATTTTGGTAAAATATTGCAATATTTTTAAAAAAAGTTTAAATAAAGGTTTAAAGTAAATTTTTTTATTCGCCATTGTTATTTTATTTCTTTCTTTTATTTTTAAATTTAAATTCCCTTACTTTATTCCCGCATAAAAGAAAAACAAGATTTCATTATTAAGGAAAGAATATAAATATGGTGGAACAATTTTTATAAACATTTATTTGTTTTTTTTTTTTACATCAGATAGAGATAAAAACAATGAAATAAAGTCGTTCAAACACTACACTTGCTACAATCCTTACATCGAAATAACTGTCAAAATACATCATCTGCTTACACAGGAAGAAAGAAGAAAAAAATCCTTCGTCGTTTTTACCGGTTATTACTGCTCGCGATGCCTCAGAGCGGACGGGTCCCTTATCATCTCGTTCATTACCGCACTGTTGCCAAAAGAAGCAAAGAAAATACCTAGGATTATGGAAATTTTCGGCGGAGAATTCGTCTCAGGTGGTCATATTAGTTTAGCCGGCGATTCTCCTAGTTGGGGTAAATTATGGCTCTCGGCAAACATTTATCTAAAAGATTACTGTTATTTTTTCCCCTTGTTATTTTATATTTTTTTTCTCTGGTGTGCAAAATGGGCTTCCAGCTAAATGGTTTCGTCCGTTAGATGGCTGAATTTATCTCTAATAGTATTAATCTATAAAAGGAAAGAAGATTTCATTGAAAAATCCGGTGGATGTCATATGGCCTATTAGCAGATATGTGGCGGATAAAAAATGGGAAAGACGATATTGCCTTGTTGGATCGCTATTGATGGAAGACGCCATATTTATCTTTCACTTTCAGTTTATTTTTTCTCTTTTTGTTTTAAATTTCTTTGTATTTCTTTTGGAAAGATGAAAAGCAGAGATTATTTATTCGTTGTTTTGGGAAGTTTAATAAAAAAAATAAGGATCAATCAAAAGGAAGAAAAAAAAAAAGATGATTCGGAGGTTTGGAAAAAATATCAATTTTGAATATTTACTGTTTGTATGAAAATAAACAATTTGAAATATTTCGTTCGGTTAAAAAAAATATCGATTGGAAATATCGTTTTAGATAAATAATATCAGTTTGGAAAATTCGATATTGTTGTTTGAATATTGTATAAAAAAAATAATATAATTGGAAATGATTTGCATTTTTTTTATAAAATGCAAAAATATTTCATTTTTTTAAAAAAATAATAAATGCAAAATGATTTGCATTTTAAAAAATCACAAAACTAATTCAATAATATGTTATTGCATCAAAAAATAATAATCTGGATAAATGGAAATGATTTGCCTTTTTTCAAAAATATATTTTTTTATAAATGATAAGAAATTAACAATGGTAACAAAATAATTTAAATAGAACAAGGAATGTTTTGCTAATTCAAAACAATTATTTTTATTTTAAATAAATTGTTTTTATTATTTTTTATTATATTATTTAACTTTTTTTACAGAACTTTTAAATAAAATTATTTCTCATATTTGAATTGATATGTGTTTTCGATGGCACCGACATTTTTTAAAAAGATATCAGTTGGAAAAGTCGTTTGGGTAAATAATATCAGTTTGGAACATTCAATATCCTTGATCGTATATTCCATAACAAATAATATAATTGGAAATGATTTGCTGTTTTAAAAAAAAATTCAATTATATTTCATTAATATGTTATTGCATAAAAAATAATAGTATAAATAATAGTAATAAAAAATAAATAGTATCAGAAAAATTCAGTATTATTGTTTATATATTGCATAAAGAATAATATAATTGGAAATGATTTGTATTTTTAAAAAACTGCAAAAATATTTTATTAATATGCTATATTATTATTAATATGTTTATTTATTATATTTCCAATTATGTTATCTTTTATGCATAAAAAAAATTATTATTTGGATAATTGGAAATGTTTTGCATTTTTTTAAAATTATATTTATAAATGGTAATAAGTTAATAAAAAATAACTTAAGTGGTTTTGTTAATTCAAGACTATTATTTTTTTTTTTTAGATTAACTTGTTTTATTTTTATTATATTATTTAAATTTTTTGCACAACTTTTAATTAAAAATGTTTCTCATATTTGAATTGATATGTGTTTTCGAGGGCTCTTGTTTTTTGATGGCACAGATGTTTTTTTATGTGACTCACCTCCACATAAATCTATCACTGCCCATTTTAATTAAGAATTATAAGTGATAGTTTTTCCCTGAAGGATTTTTAGATTTTCAAGAAGCAGGGAACATGATCCAGCTATAGTTTAGTAAAAAAACTAACATTCAAATACCAGAAATTGTTTATACCATCACTTTTGAGCTTAATTGCTGCAAGAATCCAACCAAAGGATAAAACGTTCATTAAATTCATGTTCTTTTACACATCAAGTCCTTCATTTGTTTTTTTTTATTACATTATATATATATATATATATATAGCACGCTCGATAACTGCTGTAAATTGTAATTTAAAGTCAAGTAGATTTTGCAGATAAATGGAAAGTCACGAGTCGTTTTACTTCATTTCATTGACATTTTTAAGGAATTTAAGAGATAGGGGGTCGAGCCCCCAGAGATGATGGATAAGGGACAATCAATACGTTCGAAGAGTGAGGAAACTATTAGACATCTGACAGTCACACCGCATGAAAAGTGCTCTGGCTAATAGAATCGGAGAAAGTTCATAAACAGAAATGTTAAGGTAGCGATTAATTCAGAAAAGGAAGTGGTGATTGTTATGGCAAAATGTGGGTATGCAAGACAAACAGGGTTTGGTGTAATAACCGAATCTGTTAACTGTGAGTTAGGAATTGATCGGAATTAAGGAAGAACTAAAGGTATCCTATTACACAACAAACACCCATACATACATACATACATATACACGTCGCACGCACACACAGACACACACACGAGCGCATATATATATATATATATTGATTGATTGATTATAAAACAGGGAGTAGTGATTGTTGAGGGAAAATGTGGGTATGCAAAACTAATAGGGTTTGGTGTAATAACCGAATCTTTTAATTGTTGTTGTTGTTTGTTGTTGTTTCTTATCCCACTTGGCTGGCCAAGCACACGAGCCCATATAGACTCAAGATTGAAGGGGAAGGAAGCAGCTTCTGTTGTGATGGAGCACCCGTAGGTAGAAGCCTGACTTTTGCTCCGTGACGCTCTTACAGTCATAGGAGACCGGGACCTACGGCTTAAAGTGGATTCCGAACCACTACAAACATCCATGGCACCGCCGGGATTCGAACCCGAAACCTGTGGCACCGAGCGCCAGAGCGCTAGACACTCGGCCATTCAGGTCCCAAATTTGCCAACGGCACGCAGTGTTCCCAGGTGGTGGTCACCCACCCAAGTACTGACCGCGCCCAATGATGCTTAACTTCGGTGACTTTTAATTGTACGTTAGGCATTGACGGAAATTAAGGAAGAACTAAATGAGCACTATTATACAACACACGCACACTTATATATATATATATGTGTGTGTGTGTGTGTAAAAGAGAGAGACAGAGAGAGGGAGAGATAATTTTCGAAGATGCTTGTTTGTTTATACGACCCATGGTCAAGTTACAGCCAATATCTATGGCTCTCCTAAGTCTGCACATTTCTGGTGTGAATTGAAATAATAGGACAATACATGCTCCATTCAGGATAAAAATTTGATTTTTTCTTTTCATTTTTTAATATTTAAAAAAATTATGAAATAGTTATATTTTTATTTATTAGATTTTATAATGTTATATTTTTATCAATAATATTAACAATAATTATTATTATTATGCATATTATTTTTACTATTTTGTATTAAAAAATGAGTTACAATCAATATTTTCATTACGTTTTATCTGTAATAAAAAAACGAAAACTGAAATAATATGTGAAATTCGTTTAAATTAGCTAGAAATAGCTAATTAGCTTTAATTAGCATTTTTGAGAAATGACATCTGTTTATGATCACTACATAAATTAAATTATATGCCGGAAATATGATACCTTTTAAATTAAGATAGGAATGGCTGGATTTTATATCTTGAATAATTCGTTCTTTTTACCTACCACTCTATAAAAATTTAATTTTTAATCATTAAAGTTGTTATTAGGCGAACTAATTATTAGTAGATTAAGTAATATTGAATCATTAAGATTTAAATAATAGTTATTCGTATTTTCTTAAAATAAAGCGAATTTCTAAAATTCAGTAGCACAGAAAAGTCAAATACTCATCATTATTCTCATCATTGGAGCAAAAGTCCCATAGTGGGTCTAGGCCGTCTGGTTACTGGCAGATTTCGAGACGGGATATGTTTTTCTTTTTACAGGGTAAGGTTGTCAACCCTACGCTCTGCAGGCATATTAGATCGGAACCTACGGTTTAAAGTGGATTCTGAACAGCTACAAACGGGACCGCCGGGACTTGAACCCGAAATCTGCGGCACCGAGGGATAGAACATTACTCACTTGGCCTTTAATCCCCAGTCAAATACTGGAAAAGAAAAATCCATGAATAAATAAAACACAATCCATTCCTCCATTTTGAAAAAAAGAAAATCAAAATTATTTCTTAAGCAAAAAAAAAAAAAAAAATAGATTATTGATAATTGTAAAAAAAGTTAAAGTTAAAAAAAAGATGAAGACTTACCAGTTCTGTTTGTGTAATCAAAATTTGAAACTTAATTTTTTAAATTTTTATTTTTATTAATTTTTTTTAATTTAATTATTAATTCTTTAATTTTTTAAATTTTAAGTAATAATTTTAAATTATTTTTTAAATTTTAATTTTTTTAATTTATAAAATTTTTTTTTTATATTAATTATTAATTTTTTTAATTTTTTTAATCTTTAAATTTTTAAATTAAACTGTTTTCGCCATATAAAAGCTACAATTGATTATTAAGATAGGTCTGTACATTGCTTATCAAACTATTTGAAAGAATAATTGGGTTTTTTGCTCTTTCTTTCTCTTTTTTTTTTTTTTTTTTTAAACTCTTGTTAACTACCATTCGAAAACTGACAATTAAAACTATTTAAATGTTCTAATACCCTGAATTGTTAAGATGTTCAGTAGTTAAAATTAACTATTCCAAACTATTCTACGTAGGGAAAACAGGCTCATTAACTGTAATCCTTGATAAAACTTTATTTCGTTTAAATAATTTCATTATTGCTTGATTCAATTAAAGATAATTCCAATTTAAACAAACCAGACATTGACTCGAGGAAATGTTTTTCTTATACGAGACAGAGACAATGACAAATTGTTCCCTTTTAAATAAGGTATAAATAGTATTTTATATTTCTTAAGGGATTGTAATATTTAATTTTTTTTATGGCAGCAAAATTTTCAATTAATTTTAATTGTATTTTTAATCTTATCTTCCTGGAATTCAAATAAATTACTCATTGCAAAATTCTTGAGTTTGAGGAAATGAATTGAATTAGGTTAGATTAGAATAATTAAAATTTAAATTACTACAGTGCCCAAAAAGTAAGACCAATTATTATTTTTTTTCAAAAACTATTTATTCTTCCAAATTTATTTCTTCGCCTTCAAAGTAATCACCTCCGGACACAATGCACTTATGCCAACCTTTTTTTTCAATCCTCAATGCTGCTTTTTTTCATCTGCAGGGTTGGCCTTCAAAGAGCGTGGCGATTCACGTTGAACCGCTTCAATCGACTCAAACCGGTGTGCCCGGAGTGGTCTTTTGACTTTAGGGAATAGCCAGAAGTCGCACTGTGTGATTACGGTGGTCGTGGAACGATATGGATTTCATGTTTGGCAAAAAAGTCACGAAGAATCAATGCAGTGTGAGCTGGCGCATTCTGTGCTTTTCGGTACCAATCGAAGTTTGAGGCTCGCAATGGGCTTGACCGATCCTTTTGAAATTCCAACATCATCAGTAAGGTCTCTAATTGTAAATCGACGGTTTGCAAGCACCAAATCTTTATTTTTTTGGACGTAAGCTTTGTGAACCTCAAAATGAGGTTGATTGTCGACCAGAGGGATCTTCTCCAGAGGTTTTTAACCTTAATAAACCTCGCCCTAATTTATAAATTGTATTTTATATTTCTTAAAGTATTGTAATATTTAGTTTTTTTATGGCAACCAAATTTTCAATTAATTTTAATTGTATTTTAAATCTTAACTTCTTCGAACTCAAATAAATTACTCCATTGCACAATTCTTGAGTTTGAGGAAATGAATCGAATTAGGTTAGATTGCAAAAATTAAAATTAAAATTAGATTAAAAAATGTTTAGAACAACAAAAAAATCAGCAAGGAAGTTTAGTTTTCCGTTCGAATTTCGAAAAGAAAGGTTGATAGTGTTGTGTGATCGCGAAGGCATACTGATTCAGTACTTTTGGGTCGAGAATGTTAAAAGTCATTGAGGATATTTAATGCTGATGTTTTGGCTAGAGATACTTGATATGGTAATTAAGCACCAATAGATGTGTTGTTGAACTTCGAGCTTATGTTTCTTACATATTACAGTGTCCAAAAAGTAAGACCAATTTTCAATTTAAAATTCCCGGGGATTATGGAATTTCAATTTTTTTTTCTTGTTTAGGTTGCTGGCACTGTCCTTGACATCTGTGTGAAAGTTGACGTCAAAATATTCATTAGTGTTTGAGTTACGCTTGGCTTTGTGAGACGCTAAAACTGATAGCGGCGATTTTTGAAATGTCTGAATTAATTGAGCCAAGAACTGGCATTACATTTTGTTTGCGGAAACGTATAGAATGTTGCAGAAAGCATTCGACGAGCATTCCTATATCGGAAAGAAATGTTTAGAAGTGGTATAAACAGTTCAAAGAAGGCAGAGAACGCGTTGAAGACGAAGAGCCCTCTGGTCGACCGCGGCCTGATGGCCAATTGGCTAGCGCTCTGGCATTTGGTACCGAAGGCTTCAGGTTCGAATCCTGTTATTGGTGGTTCGGAATCCACGTTAAACTGTAGGTCCCGGTCTGTTTAGCCTAAAGTGTGCACAAGATGACCGTGGAGACAAACCAAACCTGGTCGACCATCAACGTTCGACCCTTTTTGGTGCCACCGTCGATTTACAAGAACAATTTTTCAAGATTTATTTCTCTCCATCCGGTGACATTTGCATTCTTAGAACATAACCAAGAACCAACTTAATTGTTGACATCTTTATGATGCTAAATACTACTTTGAAGCGACAGCGACACTTTCTATGATGGTGGTCATTTAAGGAAGATCTTCAGGGAATATAAACACCCCTGGTCTATTAACTCGCTAAGTTGCCGACAACAAGCATTTTAGTTCATAAACGTCGTCAACACTCACATACTTAGATAGAAAGTTTGGTAGGAAATATTACTTTTATTTTTCGATGCAAAAAACTCTTTGATTCCATTTCTGCTGATTACTCGATTTTTAAAATAGTTATTTCACCATTACAGAAATAGAATCCACGTCAACACTTTTTCAATTCCTTCTATTAGCTCGCACTCTCCCTATATATATCTTGTTCAAATTTTCAATCGTTCATAAAACATCTTTTATTCATCCACTCAAGTTCAAATACATTTTTTTTTTGAACTTGTAGTGGATGACACTGGATGTTAATACAGTTTTTTCAAATATTAATTCAGTAATTAAATTTAATTAATTAATTTTAGTTTTTTTTTTAGATTTAAGTTGCATATATCTATCAATAGATGGCTCCAGATAAACTTAAAAAAATGAATGAAAATTATTCATAAAGAATTTTCTGCATTAGAGTGAAAAAAAAAATTGGAATTGACTTACATTTTTTTTTATATTACTTGTTATTCGCCGGAATCAGTTTTAGCGTCTCACAAAGCCAAGCGTAACTCAAGCACTATTGAATATTTTGACTTCAAATTTCACACAGATGTCAAGGACAGCGCCAGTAACCTAAAAAAGAAAAAAAAAATTGAAATTCCGTAAGCCTCGGGAATTTTAAATTGAAAATTGGTCTTACTTTTTGGGCACAGTAATACATATATCTCGCGCAAGAGTGTTCAAATATTCTTCGAAATAGTTTAAATATTCTGAAAAATATTTTCTCTTTAATTTTTTTCATTCCTATCTTTTTCTCATATTTTTCTATAAGATTCTTTTGATAGAGGCATTTCTAAAGTTATTCACTGCTATTTTGCCAATTGAAAATTGGTCTTACTTTTTGGACACTGTAGTATGTAAGGAACATAAACTCGAAGTTCAACAACACATCTATTGATGTTTACCTTCAATTCCTTCTATTAGCTCACACTCTCCCTATATATATCTTGTTCAAATTTGCAATCGTTCATAAAATACTTTTTATTCATCCACTCAAATATAAATACATTTTTTTTGAACTTGTAGTGGATGGCACTGGATGTTAATACAGTTTTTT